AGTTTTCCAGAGTGGCTGCACCAGCTTGCATTCCCACCAACAGTGTAGGAGGGTTCCCCTTTCTCCGCATCCCCGCCAACATCTGTTGTTTCCTGACTTGTTAATTTTAGCCATTCTGACTGGTGTGAGTAGACTCCTTAACTTCTATTAACAATAAATGCTTCCAGTTGGGCCTAAGATCAGAAAGTTAGAAGCAGCAGATAAAAATGGATTTACATACAGATTTCCTCCATTAGGGAGCTACTGATTGCAGAAGGTGCCTGTTAAAATGGACTTTAGGAGCGCCTGGGTGGCTCAGTCGTTGAGCGTCTGCCTTCGGCTCAGGTCATGATCCCAGGGTCCTGGGATCGAGCCCCGCATCGGGCTCCCTGCCCTCTCCCACTCCCCCTGCTTGTGTTCCCTCTCGCTGTGTCTCTCTCTGTCAAATAAATAAATAAAATCTTTAAAAAAATAAAATAAAATAAAATGGACTTCAAATTTGTTTGGTGAAAGTATTGCATTGACGAACTTTGCTGTAGTGGTGTGGACAGCAATGTGAGACACCCCCTGGGTGGAGTTTTGTGGACTGACTATTACAGCGGTCAGAGTTCTTAGTTTCAAGAAACAGAAACCAACTTGGAATAATTTAAGCAGACAAGGAATTTATTAAATATATTGGGTAGCTCACACAAGCGCCAAGAAGGCCAGTGGACCCGGTTTGTAGGTCACAGAGCTAGAAACAATGCCCAGATCGGGCCACAAAGTGCAGGAGGACTCACTGCCTTCGGATGCTAGATACTACAGGACAATCAAGGCCACCAGCGCCTCTCAACTGGGTGCAGGTGCCACCTCCCACCCCTGCATGGTGTCCACACAGCCGGTTTCTTTATCTTTACATCCCTGGCTTCAGATTCCAAGACTGGGTTGGGTGCAGTATTGGTGGAACTTAGGTCATATAACTGTGATAGTTGGTAAGAAAATTTGGGAAAGCAAGTATTTGGCATCTTCAGCTTCTAGAGTGGAAGACGGGCTGTGCCTCGTAAGCTAAGGGATTCTACAAATACAGGAAAAGTGGAGAAAAAGAATGAAATTGTTCAATGCAGTGTAGCCTTTGCGTTATCCCCGAATCAACATGGATCCTTCTTGCTCTAAGAATGTCTTTGGAAATGCTTTCACAAGATAAATCACCATCTGCCAGGGACTGCCAATGCCTTCTCCCTGGACATGGCTGCCTGGAACGCTCTACAGGCTCTATAAGGAATCCCATTGTTCCTTCTCTCCCTTCCTTCTTTCCTTCACTTCCCCAAGGGTTTCTTTTTCTTTTTTTTTTTTAAGATTTTGTTTATTTATTTGACAGAGAGAGACACGGCGAGAGAGGGAACACAGCAGGGGGAGTGGGAGACGGAGAAGCAGGCCTCCCGCCGAGCAGGGAGCCCGATGCGGGGCTCGATCCCAGGACCCTGGGATCATGACCTGAGCGGAAGGCAGACGCTTAACGACTG